ACCCTTTCACCCCCTCGCACGAAAATTCCCGCCCCCCCCCCCCCCCCCCCCCACACTTCAGCAGGGATGAATGAATGCACATAGGCAACGGATCTGCCATATGAGAAGGCATGTTTTACACTAAGCAACGCTGGATGCTTATCACTGTCTCTGTATAAATACACTCTTAAAACATCGTTTTTCCTCTTTCATTTATGGTCCAGACAAGAGCTCAAAACCCCAGCTTGCCTGTAGGATACTTGGCTGTATAACAATCAAATGGATTCAGCTAATTATGTTCAGCAAAGATATGTTATTCTGCAGTTATTAACCATGATTTCGATTGAGTCATTCTTAATTTACGCCGGTACAAGTTCAGAATCAAAACTAGAGAGCCCATAAAGCGCTTGCATTTAAATAAATTTGAGGTTTCCTTTGAGATTTTTTCAAGAAGGTAGTGAAAGCAGTAAGGCAGCTGAACTGCTTGTCAAGCTGAGCACAGTTCCAGGAAAAGGTAAACCCAATTCTCCGTCCATGAACTAACAAATAAACATAAAAGATGCTTTGTGTTACAGTAATACTATTGACTTCTAATAGTACATTCCTTCCAAGTAGCTCCTCCAAAAGCACTTATCAGCTTAATGCTTTCTCATTGCAGGTATCACGTCATTGTGATTGTGCTGGTCTACTGCTTTCCGCTGCTTGTTATGGGCATCACTTACAGCATAGTGGGAATTACCCTCTGGGGAGGAGAAATCCCAGGCGACACATCTGACAAATATCATGAGCAGCTCAAAGCTAAGAGAAAGGTACTGTTTCATTAAACCTCACTAAGTGAATCCTGCTAATATCATGTATAATTAGGTAGGAAAATACGGCAGTATTTTCTTTCAGAAACTCAATGTCATTTGAAACAATAGTAACAAGAGAGCTACTTCAATAAAAAATGTGATCAAGTTTGACAAATTGTCTTCTATGTTCACTAGCTGTTCTTTTTCTAATGTCATTGGTCTTTGTTTAGATAAAGGCAGTGTTTGGATTTTAACGTTTTATTCCCCCCCATAGGTGCATGCAGTATGTCTGATATTTGGAAACTAAGTCCAAATGTTTAGCCTTCACAGAAATAAAATAATGGGTTTTGAACAATGAGTTATCAAAGCATTAGCTCCTCTTGAGCCAGATTCTCCTCCTACTGAAAAAAAAAAAGTTTTCAGTGACACTCTGTCCTAACTCATGCTCCAACACTTGAAGCACATTTTTCTTTTGACAGATCAAGTGTCTCAGGGACTGATCCCTTTAAGTTTGCCTAGCATCAGTTCTTTCAAACAAATATGACATGCAGGGACTTTGCAGCCGCTACCCCTTCTTGTGGCTTTAGCCACAAGCTCCTGTCATGAGACTGACTGATGTTCAGCTGCTTTATTCTCCTGCAATTCCCGTTTTCACAAGATGCAATTATAGTTTCAGTACTGTCAGACATAAACGAAGCTTACATAGGTGGCTTACAGTGTTACTATAAATTTTACTAGGCCAAAGTGTTTTTCATGTTCAAATGCAAATACTCAGATTTGCTCTCAGATTTTGTCTCTAAACTCTGTTTATTTTATTTAGCCTTCCATTCCAATCCCTCTTCCAACTTTACTTAACCTGCAAAAGGGGGTGATCATGTCCAGTAAAGATCAAATCAATTAGTTCCTGTTGTCTTTGTCAAAATAGATGTAGTTCTGATACTATAACATTTTTCTGACAAAATAACACTTTTCTCAGCGGAAAATACTATTGCCTTTTCTGAACAGAAAGAACAGGAATACTCTCCTTTTACATCTTATGTTTACAATTCTCCTTACCTCTAGCTGTTAACTTTATGGTAACGTTACTTCAATGTGTATCTTTTCTGGCAATTTTCATGATTCCGCCATAGTTGTGCCTCTTCCTGCAGTCTCTGCTTCTCTTGACACAGTCAGTTTGTAGTCTTTTCTCAACTCCTTCCTGCAATGGAGTTTGAATAAAAGCAATCTTATTTTTCCCACATTGAAACCTTTTTGCAAATCTGTAAATACAAGCACAGAAAAACAACTGTGTATTTGCTAGTGACTCACAGTATTCCAGGAAACACTAGAGAGATGGTCAGGTTACTAGCCTAATTGCAAAAGAAAATTTGCAAAGCTTTATATACATATTGATCGCTAAAATAAATATCCCGTATCCAATTATGCTCAAACGCATCTATTTAATCAATTAACACAGTATGTGTAACCCAGTGGGGGAGAAAATAAAAAGGAGAAAGTTTTTAACACTGCTATCTGAAAAGAAAAGATGCTCAAAACAATATGAGACTGCTTAGGTGCAACGATGTCAAGACAAACACCGCTGAACATCAAATATTACGCAGTGTGACAAGCCAAATTTAGTAAGAAAACAGCACAATCTGTTTTCCAAGTCAGGGTCAGAACGGTTAGGTGAAAATTCAAAAATCACCTAAAATTAATGTATGGGAAGCTTTTAGTAGATAAACAGAAGTAGCCAGGTGAAGTCTTGAAGGGCTACAAACACATGTTAAAAAAGGTACCTCAACTCAACAATTTTAAATAATATACCCAGAAAAGATGGTGTTATGTTCCTTTTTCACATAGCAGTAGAGCTATAAAAATACAGCTCAGCGTATTATATCTGAGGGAATATCCCTGGCCTCTTACTGGGGTTCAGTGTCACTAAAAAGGCAGATTTTCCATTTTATTCCAACATACGAATACATGACATGAAATCATTTTAATATACAGTTAATACTACATTGTATGAAATAAGAAAAATACTAGTTAGAAATAATGATACTTTTGCTGACATTAAACAGTAGCAGATAAGGGCAGAATGAAAGAAGCTGAACTGTGTCATGACGGAGTAGTTTACTATGGGACAGATTTTTTTAAACGAAAATTAAGAAGTGAGGGAGATTCAAAGCTCAGAACATTACAGTGTAACATCAAAACTCATGGGATACTGAATAAATTACGAGCACCCCCACAAAGGCTGATACAGACTTGGAAAAATAAGATCATACCCAAAACTTAAAGCTTATTCACCAAAAACAGGTAATGGAAACATCACACCATGAAATCACATATCATATAGTAAGTAATTTTGACTCTTACTGTTAAGAAGTAACCACTAAGTCTAGATAGACATACTAGTTAGATACTAACCCCGCCATAAAACTTCATTGGAAAGTTTGCTTTCAACAATAAAAAACAAAAAGTTTTGACGTTCTGGGCCCAAGGATTTGTCTTGCATGTGACTATATCCTGCCAACACAATCTTGAAAATCCATTTTTATCCTAGACATTTGTTCAGACTTCTTAAAGGTTGGAAAAGAACTGCTGTCCCAGGAGACTGTACAAAGATACGGTAAGTTTAACATTTTCCCAGTTATTTAAGCAACCCATATCATCCTAGCTTTACTTAGCACAAGGATCAGCACTCCAGTCTTCAAGAACTCATATATACTATATTCCATTTTCCAAAAAGTATAAGGGAGTTAAACAGTTTAATCCTATAGCAAGTCAATAGAACTTGATTATCCTAATGTCCTTTGAAAGCACCAGCTTTCCAACGAATTATTCTACACAGCTTTGTACTACACACTTCAAGGGATGGCCCAAATCTGCTTAGGACACCCCTCAGTCTATCATCTCAATCATCACTTCTGAATGTTTTTTAAAAGTTACACAGTAATAACCAAAGGAGGAGGAAGGCATCTGTGTTGCAACTCATAGGAACTGGCCATGTAACAGCCGACTGTGGAAAAGACTTATACGGTCATCTTGCCTTTCCCACCATTTATTTATTCAGGGGGCATGAAATCTTTGCACTTTGTGGATTTATATGTGCTTGTGTGCAGTGGACAGAAACGACTGCCATGCTGGTGGCACTCAGCATATATACTTACGAGGAGCCAGTTGCAGAACTGTGTATGCATGCTTCTCCCCGGGAAGCAGCCTCTTCACTTTGGTTGATTTTGTATTTCTCAGTCAACCTATCCATTGTATCGTGGGATAACGAGGTGCAGAACTCAATTTGCTATGAATACCACTACATGCCTCATGCCAAAAATAACTTCCAGTATAATTTTTTGGTCCACCAGAAATCCTCCTTAAATAAGTCTACTCTTTGATCTTGCACAGAGTGACAACGAAACAGACGGTCTCTCTGATCAACAAGACGTAATGCTATGGTTTATGCTATAGGGATGGCTGCATTGCTTGAGTATCTGAAATCTCATACAGCTACAGATAAACTAAACTACACATGAACTCAGACCTCCAGCCTGAGCACTGAATCACTATTAGCACCATGCAGGCCAAAGCTTACCATGGTGGAATATGTACCTCAATGTAGACATTCATAAATTTAGCAAGCATTGTTCAGCACATTTACAAAGAAAAAAGACTAAGTAATACCAGGCTGAAGGACAACTTACTTCAGTTAGCAGCAGTTCTGTACACTGCAAAGTACTGTTGTCAGTCAGTAACCAAAAAAATAAGAGACACTTTTTAATGATTTCTGTCCTTACACCTAAATGTATACCCCTAAAAACAAATGCTAGTTTATTTTCTAGGCAGCTCAAGCTGCTACAAAAATACCACCCAAAGCGATAACCTGTAATGCTCACCCACTGCCTTTCTTCTACATGCAATATGAAACGATCAGCTTCGAATCTCTCTTCCTTCCCCTTTTTAAAACTATTCTTATTTTATGATTTTATATTTTTAAAGTCAGTCCCCTCTGAGGTTAGACTCACATTAGTCATACAGCTTACACTTTGCGAAACTACTGTAGAAATGAAATCAATTTGAACATTTCGGTATCAGTGAGATAGGGTAAGTTTTAAACATCAGTTTTGTCTGTGGTTGTCTTTGACATTGATATATTTTGCTTAAAGAAAAGAAAAAAAATGGGAAGAAGGAACTTTCAGGAGCATTTTCAGATCTAAACAGCAAATCCAAATCAAGCATCCTGAACAGGAAACCTTGTAAAGGTTGCCTAGTTTCAAGTTCAGTTATGATTCTCCCATTTAACAGCTCTATAAGTGATGGATATACAAGATTGTGCATGTATTTCACATCCTGGATTTCTTCATTTAGGAGAAGTGACCTAGCCCTTCCTGCAATCTATATGAACTCCAGTTATCATCTGTTCCTCTTCCTTTGCACTAGTTTTGACTTTTTATCTGTTACTGAATTCTCACTTCTTATTTGAAGATTAGAAGTAAATGTAATCAGTGGTACCTTAAAATATTTTCCCAAGTGTTTCCTTTATTTTTGATTACAGGGGACTTTTTCTCTCCACCCACCTACCGTATCTGTTTTCACAACTGCTGTATTGTCTGAATTAAGTGGCAGGCTTTCTCTGAGAGGTTTAGATCACAGCCCGTTAACAGCTATTTGGCTTAAGTAAATACACACTAAGATTGGTAATCTGTTCCGCTGGGAAAGGGTGACAGAGGGTGACAGAGCATTGGAACAGGTTGCCCAGAGAGGTAGTGGAGTCTCCTTCCCTGGAGATATTCAAAACCCGTCTGGACCTGATCCTGGGCAATATGCTCTAGAGGTCCCTGCTTGAGCAGGGAGGTTGGACTAGATGATCTCCAGAGGTCCCTTCCAACCTAAACGATTCTGTGATTCTGTGAAATAAACCATAGAATTATATGTGTGATGCTAGCATATCACTACAGTCTCCTAACCATGCGACTTGTCACATACATTACATTACAGCTTTTCTCCTTATTGACTCAGATGCCATTTGAGGATCATTAGCTTCTAAGATAGTATTTCCAAAATTAACGTTTTATTTCCTCATTAGAATTCACCACAGAAAACTCTTTCCTGCATCAGAGAAAGCTAACAGGTTGTCATTAGTTTACGTTGTACTGTTCCTAATGGAGTGCGAAAAGAAGAAGGTCAAAGGGTTAACACACTGGTTAGTGAGACACTGTTCTTCTTCCAGTGGTACAAAGTTTATTCTCAGCACTTCACACCTTCTAAGTCAAAATCTGAAGCAATAACTGTGCACTGTAAATATATACCATTTTGTAAAGCCACATCGATAAATATATTAAAGTATGGTCAAGAACAAAAAACATTTGCAGCAAGACTAGAAATTACTGAGGTAGGCCAATTTGACTAATATCATGAACCAGACAAGACTGCTTGTCCAGATGTGCTAACGTGGACCATATCTCAATACATAAGGCCTTTATGACAGGTCATGCAAGCATACATTACTACCCTCAAAATCAACACTGATTTTAATTAGGCCATTAAGCTCCAATAGCCACTGTTCTCTATACGGGATAAAAAGGATAGATGGACCGTTCCAGATGGTTCTGCACTTAATGAAAATTAAATTTCTGTTTTATGAAATGTAAAATCATTACCAAACATGAAGAGGTAAAGCCCCTGGTAAGTCAACAATTCCATTCCTTTAAAATGGTGTTTTCAAAGCTTCATCTGCGCTTCAGCTGTCATAAAACAGTCAAAGTGGGTGAGATAGCACTGCCGATGACAGAAGACAGACAGGATCTTCACGCTGATTGTGCTCCATCACTTGCGCTTAATGCAGTACTGGAAACCACTGTCAAGTAAATACATCAAAGTAGTATTTATAGTAACTGAATTCTCTGAGGCTCAACAGCCTTTTCTTTCTTTGTGGTCTGCTTTGATAACTGTCAATCCTATTGATCTAAAAAATGTATCTGTAAATGTTCCTTAATTTTGACTGAGAAAAAAAGACTCATATAAACCTAGGAAAAGTGAAACGTTTCAGTGAAGTGAAACTGCATCCTTTATAGTCGTTATGTAATTAAAGCTTTTCAAAACCCTGTCAGAGAGCTCTACTGAATCTAATCTAAAGAGGGATGGAACTAGACAAGCAGCTGCTTTTGTGGCTCCTCCAAAAACAAACTCATCCATAGTCTACAAGGCACCAGCTATTGAAACCTGTCCAGAGCTCTCTCCCCTCATTCCTTGGATGTCATTTTGTGTCTATCAATATTAAAAATTTAAATGAATACAGGACTCAAAGTAGCCTCAGGGCCCAATGCCCATCATCACAGGCAACCCAGAATTCTCACGGTATCAAAAGCTTCATCTTAAAATCAGTTTGCCTTCTGGCCCATTACTTTTAATTTAAGGTGTTCAAAAATCTCACTACTCCCAGACTTCCAGTTTCCAGGCTAAATTTATTTATGGACAGCTTTATTTATGCCAATATTTCTGTTAGTTTAATTAACTATTATCCCTTATTGGTACTGCTTCTGCAGCTGTTTGCATAAACAGTCATATCCTCTCTGGACCTTCATTTGCATTCATCACATAAATGAAATAAGCACTTTTGGTCTTGTTTTATATAACAACATCTATACACAACGAGCGATCAAAACAATACAAGGGAACGCTAGAGGCGAAGCCTCACCATGGCCTTGCATGGTGGTATTAACACTTTCCTCTCTCCATTGAAAATGTCTTACCTGGAACATCCTAACACCTCCTCGCATTTTTTTGGTCATGCTGTAAGAAATCAATGCATTTGCATCACTCTGTCGCCCATGTATCCACAGCAGGTAACTCCGCACCTCATGGAGGAAAATTTTACTAGCCCCCAAATCAGTAAATCCTAGAATTTTTCTGAGTATGATCCTAATTATGGAAGAACGTTGTCAAGCAATCTCCAAAACTAGCACAGTACCTGTTTCTATTTGTCTGTGAAATCTGCAATTACCATGTCCCCACTCAGAGACACAACCACTACAGACACTACGGTAAGCGTATGACTAGCACTTTAAACTCTGAAGCTGCGTTTCTGCTCCTGAAGTTTTGAAAACATCCAGGTTCTTCCTCTGTTATACCTCTGTATCAGCAATGCTGCACAACAGCGTATTCTCACCAAATGTATTTGGCATGCTCTTCCTCTTTTATCCCTAGCTCCTCAATATTTTGTAACATAGCAGAAGTTATATAAGGGGATGTAGCACATTTCCTGGAAAGAACTGATGGTAATTCTGTCTGTTGCTCTCTATGGCTCTGTTTGGGTGCACCAGCACTGTTGATGTAGTAAACACTACCGGATCAGACTGTAAATGGGTGTTCCATTACCATGTTCTGAACAGTTGCCCCATACCTATTAAGATGGATACCTCTCAGACTTATTGGATAGCTATTAATGCAGCAGTAAAAATTGCTACTTGTGAGTAACTGCTATTACAGTCAAAAGCCTGCAAAACAGGGATCTTTGTCATTATTTCAATATATGCTCATAAAAAGCTCCTAAAGGGTTATAAGTGCCATAATATCACATGAATAATATGTCTAATATCTACTACCAGAAGAACAGATCTCTTACTATTCTGATCAATAATATATTCCCTTAGCTATTACAAATCTCCACGAGAACACAAATACAGCATTGAGAGAAAAACTTGATGGTGGCCTTCTAATTTACCATTAATTAAATTCTGAAATTCTTGCACAAGCCATGTAATGACAAAAAATATCCTCTCCTGCCCCTCTCCACTTTTTTCCCAGCAGTGCTAGGAAGCATGGCCAATATTCTGAGAAAAAAACTTCTTTAAAAGTTAAAAAAAAAAAAAAAAAAAGCTATTAAATCATTTTCATTATCTAGTATATGAACTACATTCCCGTTGGAAACGTAAGGAACAAGAGAATGAGCAAAGCAACTCGTAATGTTACATATCATAATTTTGGTTTTATAGCCTGACTCTTCATATATACGCTCAGCAGTTGCCTAGGAAAGACTGGGACATCAGACATTGGGAAATGATTTCCATTGCATGCTAAAAGAAACCAAAATTAACTATCCATAACCGAAGTGTTGCTTTTTTTTTTTTTTTTTTTTTTAAAAACAGAGCTACTTTATGGGCTTAAAACTTTGAAAATATAGGATTCATCCTTTCAGCTCTACAGAAACGCAGACAATTAACCAGGCTTTCTTCTGTTCCTGGGGTTTTACACACCTTTTGTCAAGCCATTTAAGAATTTACCCATGATTATTACCTTACTGTGGTAAAAATAAAATCAAATCTCCAGATCCTTTTCTGAACTGCATTAAAACACTTACATATAATAAAATACACCGATTGATGATTCTGGAAGCTGCCCTACTCCACTCTCTGTCTACCAAACAGCTACAACACACTCAGCAGCAGCACCAGCTTCCATTGTCTTTCAACTTTTCCTAAAATTCAGCTAGGAACAGCGGAATCACTCCACACTCGTCCCCTAGGCCTGAAGTAGCAACCACAGCAGTGAAAAAAAACACCAGACTCTAAAACTGGCTTTATACAGTGCATAAATCTTGCACAGCGTTAAGTACCTACTGAGAGACTGATAAAAGGTTTCTGATTACAATGGGCGATTCCATTTCTTTCCTGAAGGGGAACTATCCTAAGGCTATCACCTCCTTCCCTGTAGAACAGCGGGCAATAACTTTGGGTCAGTGGCAGAGGTAACAGACTGATCCTGCGTGGTCAGTGAGTAGCCTCAGGAGCATACACTTGAAATTTCCCTGATGTTTCTCCTCTGTATTTCTGCATCTCCCATCACCTCAGGTAGAAACTTCACGGGAAATACTAAGTCTGGTAGCAGTGCTAGGTCAATGATTTCAGTTTAATAGCACTTCATATTTTTAAGAACTTAAATACACTGGATTAAAAGGAGCAAAAACTATGGGTTTAGGAAGGAGGGGAGGGAAATGGAGATTAACCACATGTACTGATTCTCTCCTCAAAATGAGGATCCCAGATCAATTACGGTGACGCAAATAGGTCTGAACAAACGACTCCTACTTTTAGGCAGCAATGTGAATTCAGTGTGCTCTTAAATGCATTGCTGAATTGAACCATTTCTTAATAATAAAATTAAGATACCGACTGGAAAGTAAAATAAAAACCAAATTTACCCCTTTTACAAAATTTGTTTAAATTTTAAACACATGGAGATTGTGATAGACTTGCTGTTTCAGACAGTTCTCTTTCTTCTGCCTAATTCCTTCCTGGTTCAAGTATGAGATCTAACCCTCCAGACAGATTACCTTAATAGTGCACCTGCAGGACAAAAAATGTTAAATTCTAAATAGTTTCTTTCACCAGCATACAAGCAAATCTTGAAAAAATCTTAATTCATTTCTGAATGTGGCTCATCTAATCTGCAGTCAAGTTGTCCTGTTAAATGGGATAACTTGTGGCCTCTTGTACAGCCCTATACAGAAGACAAGAGATTAGAGAAATCCTTTTCCTCCTTAAGTCCATGTAGGGAAGTCAGGAATAAACTAAGTTTCGCATGAGTTTGAGTTTTTCGAGCTTTCTGTCACGGTGCCCAACCTGGATTATGAAGAATCCAGAAATGTGATACAGATCAGTTATTTTGGAGGACTGCAGTGCTGACAGCTGTACAGGAGAGCAGAGCTACAGTTCCACCATTGCATTTATACACTTTTATGTTCAGTACATGTTGCTAGTCACTTAAAAACAAAACATTATTTCAACATGTCTCTTTCTGAGTTAACACAGAAGGCTATATGATTACTTCCTTCACACCTAGAATAAGAGACCTCACTAAACCTCTGCTATAGCATTAAGTTACAAAGGGAAAACTGGGCAAACCACCCCACAGTCATCACAAATGGCAACTAGTGGCAGGAGCTAAACTGCAAAGAACTGTTGATATTCCAGATGTGCTTTGTAGGAGCAGGAGGAAATTATAATCTTTAAACAGCGTCTGTGTCTTCTGTCTATTGACACCTTCACCTAACAATTGTAAACCTGTAACTCAAGCACTTCATGCTTTAGACGTCTCTGTACTGCAGCCTTGTAACCAACTTATCCAAAACACTTATGTCATTACTCATTTTCTGGGGTGAATGGGAAGAGTTTCTTTGATTTCAACAGGTTTTGGAGCAGATTTTTTGGAAATAGATTCAGTAACCCAGGCATGGGTTGGCTTGTACCTTATGCCACAAGAGCATCCAACCGGTGCAGTAACAATCAGCACGCTGACAATTATGGTCAAGGACGGAGGTACTCTAACACTAGAGGCAATGCTAAAATGCCTGTTTGGAAGCAGAAACAGTCGATTCTGACAGGACAACGACATTCCTGATACTTTTAGCAAACATAACTGACCAGAGCATACACCTCATTTTTACTGACCCAGCATTTCCAAGTGGTCTACATGCAAGAGACAAGTCTACTTTTCCTAATAAATTAATAAATAAATCAAGTGTATCCAATGCCAGATATAAACTTCAGACATCACTAAACATAATAATTTACTTTAACTCAGTTTAAATTAAAATAGGATTGGGTGGACATTATTGCTTCTTGTTTCTTCTCCTGGATGTTAATAAATGTTTTTGCTTCAACATTTGGAAGGGAAGATATTACTACCTTTCCAAATGCATATTTATGATGACAATAAAAGAATATTTTTAGGGTTTTTTTTTTTTTTTTTTTTAAGAAAAGTGTTATGCCATGCATTTTTAACAACTACTCTCCAGGAATAATTCATTCCATCTTCAGGCAACACAGTTTTATTCCTATCAACAGGAAGGAGAAGAAAAAAGAGGTTTTCCAGACTCTCTAATAAACAACCTGCATTCCTTCCCATGATGCTCTTGTGCTAAAATTATAAAGAAGTACAAGGAACATTAATATGGTTTCTAATTACATAAATCACTAAATTTCCCCAAGTGAATAAACCAGACAGAAATCAATCCAAAAGACTGTAGGCTTTCCAGCCTGTACTCCTACTCTGCAGATCACCAGGTGTACCCATCTCATGTTAGGACCAAGAGGCCCCTTTCCATTGGTAGCAGCCCATATAAAGCAGACAGCATGTATGGGTATTTTTGCATAGTTCATTTGCATAACTCAGTATAGCCTTATTTGCTCATTAATTCACTGTTCAATAGCAGTTCTATTTCTCAAGAAACAAAATTCATTTTTCATGTGCTAATTTTTTTTGAAATCTTATAGAGAAAACTCAAGTGAGTCTTAAAACTTTGGCAAGGTTCTGGGAGAGCCTCCAATGAGGATTAAAGGTACTGAACATTTTCAAAAATGTGGCAGAAAGTGGGCTTAAGAGCTAACTATTGCTAATGGGAAAACAAAGGGAAATGTGAATATGTTGTTCCTCCCACACTAAATCTCACCCCTGCTTGGAAACATGCAAGAGAAGTAAAGCGTGCACCATTAATTCTTCCAGGCCATATCTACACTAGGAGACTATTGTAAAATAAGTGAGATGGCAGGACTTTTAAGTGCAAAAGCACTAGCTCATTTTTTTCACTTTTTTCAGCACTAAGTTCTCAGGTAGGTACTCATATTCAGTAATGCCTCAAAACAGTCACTCTGGGTCATTTTCTGAAGAATGTAAACTCCTCGTGCTCCCCCATGCTGAAGAGCAAGGCAATAACCCAAGCCCATCTACCTTTACTTGTAGTCTAAATTACAACAATTATCTGAAGACCAGATGTTAGCATACTGTCTTATATCTAATGGTCCTTTATGAGAAATCAACACATTTCTACTGTATAAAGTAATGTAAAACTTGTGACTGCTTTTCTCTTTTTTTTCCCCCCTCCAATGAGAGTCTTTTAAAATCATCTCTCCTCAGGACAAAAAGTATGACAAAAAAGGTTAAAAGACTTAGTCCTTTTCTTTAATGGAAGGGATAATTCTAAACCTGTTGAGAGAATCTTATCATCAAGGGCACTATCACAGTCATGTTCCACTTAGGAATTTAACTCAAACAACTAAAAACAGACAGCAAGGACGTGTGCCATGCGTTATCTATCACTCTCCCTGCTCTGCAGTCTGTATGTGCCAGACCTACAGGCTTCCAATACTGTGCCTCAGAGAATCAATCTTTAGCAAACTCATTCAGTAAAATTCAGAAGAGTAATTTCCAGGAAATGTACAGACAGCCATGCAACATCAGAAAAGTATAATTTAAAAATGGCAGTAGCCAAGTCTGTTCAAGAAAAATGTCAGAACGGATTTGATTTTGAGGGGAAAAAAAAAACAATTTGAGCATTTGTAAGACAGCAACACAATGCTAAAGCACTTCATACCAGAACAGACAAACTTTTTCAATTTTCCTACTTAAATAACAAAGCAAACAATTGTGAATTCTGCCTGTATGAAGGGGCTATGCAAACTGAATTGAAACACAGTTACTTTTTTTATGCAATTGAGAAAAAAATGGATGAAAAGTGTAAGTCAAAGGAATAAAATAATTTCTGGAGTGCTGAAACTGGCCTGTATGCTACTCGACTGAAGGACTTTCTGCACTTTAAAGCTCTCCGACTCTTTCTCCTTCAAAAATCTACATCTGTTTCAGCTATTAGGAATGTATCCTTGCTACAGGCTAAAAGAGCACAGAAAATTCTTGAGCTTGTAAAAATTAAGAGAAATCACAGCATTTGATATCTCAGAAAACAGTCCAATCTCTGTACTAATGCCAGTAGAGTTACCTTGAAATCCTAATGTTCTTGCAAAAGATAGACCACAGTTTATTCCAGGCAAGTGCTGTGGGGGGAAAAAGAGACATAATGCTGTTCCATTCTCTGTTGTGCTTACTGTGCAACTGTGTACATATTTTTCCTCGAGTTGGGAAGTGGATCTACTGATTGCACGCTAGCACGTTGTGGGAAATACTTTGTGCAAAGTAGAAAAAGAAACACGTTATGTCTTCCAGAGATTTTTTTATGAACTGCATTTAATAGCTGTATTTGAGTTGTGTTCATGTGTAAACTAATACATTCTTACAGAGCTTTGTTTTTCAGAGTATTTGCTCTGATCCTCATTTACATCTCCACAACCCAGGAGTAAAAACTCTGAAATTAAGTAAGTTGTGAAGTGTGAAACTGGTGCAAATGAAGTCAGAAGCAAAATCCTTGACCTTGTAGAAGCAGCAATATCAATTATTGCCTTAGAAAGGCAATAAGGAGCTGCCAAGTAGGTTGAAAATGAAACGATTCTCTGGCCTAAGTCTTAAGATATTGATGGTAAATCAATGCCTTACAATGAGAATATTTCTAAACATTGCTACAGCCCCCAGCATTAATTGATTCCTTCTGGAAAGTGTGCCTTTTACTCTTTATCTTGCAAGAGCTGTTCTCAATGCTATAGCTAAATTAGACTAATTTTTTTTTAGTTCTTTTTCAGATAGAATAAGAATAGGAAGAAAAAACCGTATCTGCTGCTCTCTGCAAACCGAATCTTTTAGCTCCCTTCCCTTTTACAGCACCATACGTTTCACAACACAAGCAAACCCACATCCAATTCCACTAAACCTACACCTGCTTTGTTCTTTTAAATGCATGTTGCTCTCATTATGTACCTTTCATTAATGAAAGAACGCTGCTTATTCAGGTGAGTAAGGACCTAAAGGGACAGCCAAGACTACAAAGCACATGAAGTAACCTTTTTTTTCCCCCCTTTTTTTTTTTAAAAACAGATATATATTTTGTTAGGCGTAGGCAGAAGTCTGCAGAATCAATGTTTGCAGGAAATGCTGATAGAAAATCAAAATATAAAATGCTTTGATTTTCCATCATAGTCCAAATTTAGCCTCAAGACTTCTCAAGAGGTTACACAACTGCCAACAGGCTCAGCACAACTCATTTTAATAAAAAAATAGAAGATGCTCATCTTTGCTTTGACTAACTTCAATAATGAAACCATGCAAGAAAATGATGAATTGATGCTGAAGTGGTGCTAGGAATAAAAAAGCATAATGTATATTATAAAGTAGCATTATTACTTCCTTCTTTCAGGTGGTAAAAATGATGATTGTAGTTGTGCTGACATTTGCCATCTGCTGGCTGCCCTACCACATTTACTTCATAGTTACTGGGATCTATCAACAATTAAATCGGTGGAAATACATTCAGCAAATCTATTTGGCCAGCTTTTGGCTTGCCATGAGCTCTACAATGTACAATCCCATTATCTACTGCTGTCTTAATAAGAGGTAAGAAATAGTTATGAAACAGTTGGTACGTATGACGTTAACAAGAATATAAATGGTTTAAGTTTGATAAAAGATGAAGAATTGCTGCTTTAAATAGATTTCAGTCAGTAGGAAGGCAGAAAAATCTTCCTTTAGGTTTGCAACTTGAAGTTAGTCCCAAAGAACCAAATGCACACTTTCAGTAAACACTTTGGTCTACTTACAATTTCAGAGCAAAATTCAGCACTGAGAAGCCAACCTTTCCTGGTTTCACATGCAAAATTTAAAAAACCTATAAGCAGTCTCCTATTATTAGAGTTGTAAAACAAATTACTGTTAAATATATGCCAAAAATAAAGACTGTTATTAGTAACGTACACTGCAATCTGTATATTCGCTAACTAATTGTAGCCATGAACATATTTTGCAGCACTGGAAGGTTATAATAGCAAATGAGATTTACGGTGTATTTCATACCCCACCATTACATTTCTATTAAACTCTGAGGTCTGTAACAGGCTAATAAAATGTGCGTTTAAATTCTCATTACTCAATACTAAATTACAGGACTGTTCAACGGTGAGGCCTGAAAAGTCAGGCATAAATCATTATGCTCTGAAAGGCATTGCACTTATTGAGTCCAGATTTTACAGATATTTGGCAGTTTAAAACTAATTCTGGATTGCAGAAGTAATTCGTTACTAATTTCAGCTTGTAGGACCAGGATCATTGCCAGTAATACCGAATAAAGACCATTGAGAGCAATGAATTATTCACGAACCCAGTCAGTACAAATCAGTATTGAATAAGCAATCTTAAATTTGAAATTATTTGAAATCTCTACTGAAAGAGTAGTCAGTGGCAAGTTTAATGGCTGCAAAGCTTTACGTAAATATCTTAAAATACTTACAAAATCCCAATAAATAAATAACGATCGTCCAATACCTGTCAAAAAGAGTCTAACTGAAAAAGACGTGACCAAATCCTGCCCAACCTTTATTGGTGTATCAACACTGGAGTCTTCCTCCTTTATTGAGATGCTTAACATCTAAGGCTTTTTAAAATGGCAAGGTAATGTCTTACTTCACATAACCTTTCGCCACTTGCGATCATTTACATCTGAAGAGAAGGTAAAGTATTAGCATGCCAGAATGAAATCCTAACTCATATGGCAAATTTCCCCTTAATATTAATGGAACTGGGATTTCACTGGCTGTCTTGCATCCACAAAATCAAACACAATGAAGAATTCAGGCCTCATATTTTCTCAATTATTATCATGACCCCTCTAAAATATTGCCATTTTCTTCAAAAATATTTTTATGGAAGAGTCACAAAAGATGTTATTCATAAAAAAATTATCATCTCTGATATGGCTTAAGTACATGCTGACATTTGTGCTATGCCAAATTAAATGTCTGGATTAAAGAACGTAATTCAATGAAAATCTTCCTAATTTTGAGATATATTATAGGTCATCTTGTTCAGAACTCAGTACAAGAATGAAATGCAGGTGAGAGTTTTCTTATCATCAAGTTTCAAATTTAACTAAAGAAAAATACTGAATGTCTGCTTCCTTTTCACACAGTGGGAAATTACAGCCTGTTGGTGGGAATTTGTTCAGGTCAATTAATGCAGTATTGTTACCTGTGTTGGATTTGGTATCAGATAAGGTTGTAATACTCCCCCCTGGCCTCCTCTCCAGGAGAATTAGGATATATTATTTAAGTATCTAGACAGAGCACTAGAAGAAAAACCAAGCCCGGAATGAGAAACAGGACAGAAGGAGCCATGAAAAATAATAATGCCTAAAGATGTTTTTATATAGCTTCCTCTGTTAAAGCTCTAACTATTTCTGCTAGCTATTCTTCATATATTTTTTATATTTATATATTTTTCTAAGATCTTTTTCAATTATTACAAATGATTTGCCAAGTAATTCATGTGAATAAGACCAGTTACTGCATCATTCTGCCAATTTTCAATTTCAGTCTTTCTGTAACAGAGGAAAATATAGTAGGGATACTGGAATCTGGAATGCTATTTCAGAGAAAAGGGTGCTGCAAAGTTTCAGCTGAGAGAAGATGAAAATATAGGTGCAGATTTCATCGTGGGTCAAATCAAAATTTCTGTTGAGGCAATGCTATGAAAGCTGGTCTTTGATTTATAAGCATGGGCAAAGGAAGGGAAATTCACTATCTGGAAAATATCAACATTACAATGCAGGGAAAGCAGGTGGAAGATTAGAAACAGAAATGAGTTGTTATTCAGTACCGACTTCTTGCCTCCTCAGACTGCTCAAGTTTTACTCCCACTGACAGGATTAGGAGCCAGGTGATTAGTTGGAATACCTGTGTCCTGTCAGCACAGTATTACGCATTCCCCAAAAAAGTCATGTTTTCAAATGAAGGTCTGTGGCCAGCTCTTCCAAGTGCAGGCTCTCCTGAAGCATCTTTCTTCTCAGATTCCGAGCTGGCTTCAAGAGAGCTTTCCGCTGGTGTCCCTTCATTGAGGTGTCCAGCTACGAAGAGCTGGAGCTTAAGGCAGCCAGGTTTCATCCCACTCAGCAAAGCAGCCTGTATGCTGTGTCGAGAATGGAGTCCAGCATGACAGTAGTGTTCGATACTAATGATGGAGGTAAATCCCAGGCCAGCCATAAGAAAAAAGCAGCTCCAAGGGATGCGAGTTTCAACAGCTGTTCACACAGGAATTCCAAGACCATCTCTGCAACCTCAAGTTTCATCAGTTCACCACACATATCAGCAGACGAATATTCCTAAGCATTTCTTAGTGATGGCTGCAAGAAGGGCAGCGCTAGGCAAAAAGAGACAATGCTATTCTCCTTGGAACCAAATATCCATATAACAGGAAAGCAAACACAAATCCACTGATGAACCCTAGCTATAAATACCGTGAGACTACTTGGCATCACTTGCTTTTGTGCTTTGGAGAAAAAGAGAAACTTGAAGACGTCTGAAAGCATAGTTGCATCTTGTACATAGCAGTATTTGTAGAGATTATTTAAAACAAGACAACAGCATAAAAAACACTGTTTCAGCTAACCTATATCTGACCTGTGGCATTTATGTTTCACTTACTGAAATGCGACAGCATGTTTTACTTGAAGTTCAAAAGTATTAGGCTTCCTATGATGCATGTATTAATTCTACAATAATAATGTTACATAGTATTTGGTTAACAAATGAAGACTTGGTAAGTCCCAAATCTATTCAGTTGTTCTACAGTTTGGCCCTATCCCCAGACAAAGAGACAAACCTGAGTCCATGACCCTCAGCGGAGCTTAGTGATTGACTAGAACGGTCAGAAATTCCAGAAAGCTTTTCAAGTGGATATTTGCCTGCAAGAAAAAAACATTGCAGCAATGAACCCTCTTCTCTGCAGAAAATATAGTGAAATGTTTCAACACAAAATACTTCCACCAGGAAAAAGCGTGTGGGTAATTCTTTCCAATTCCTCCACAGCTAGATGCACTCAGAAATACTGCTTTGCCTGCGTCTGAAGACTTTGTCAGGCATTACTACGCAGACAGGTTCCTAAACCAATTCAGGCAAAACCATCTAGTTTGATATGTGTGCTGTTAGCAGCTGGAAAAGGTAAGGGTTCAGCCAGAACACTAACAACATTGGATCAGGGAGCTATAATGTGTACATTTATTTAGGAAGAGTGCGGAAGACAGTAACGACCATTTTAGGGCTACAGGAAGAGCAGTAGCCTCTTCACCTTGCTCTGCTGAAACCAAAACCACATGTCCAGCTGTAAACAAGTTTTTCCCTACTGCGATAAAAAGTTATTCTAATCAGAGAAAGTTGCCAAACTACCAATAAGACTTGAGAATCACAATTTTATCTCAGTTCTATCACTGAAAGCCAGGTTAACCCCACTGACTGCTGTGGAGTTGAGATTAAAACTAATGCCAACTGTGGTAAGACCCTGATTCAAAGCACAGAACACACTGACTTCAGAGGTATGATGCAGCAAAGAGTTAAATTAATCCAAAAGACTTTAAAAATGGAATTATTTCAACTAATTCCAGTCATTTCTAAAGTTGACATAAACATTAATATTGCAGCAAAATCCT